AAACGGGGAGCCGGTGTGGTGAAAAAATAAAAAAGGCATTCCGCTGAGTCCGTGTGATGGCTAGTCCATTCTGTCACGTGATGAAGTGAATGAAGACCCAAAATTGCAGGAATGCCAAAAATAAGGGTTTAATGATAAAAAAGTCCAGATGAAACCAACTCAAAATCCAAAACCAAAACAGGACCAGGAACAGGACGGAAACAGTAGTGATGTGCTGAGCGTGCCGGGTCTTCGAAGCGTGTACCGAGTAAAAAAGGGGCGTATTTTTTGAAGCGTGGTTCGAGGCGTGTGTTGGTGACGTATGTGGTGACGTTCGAAGCCTCGCGTAGCGGCCGCACCACGTCACGGTTCATATAGTGCTTCATATAGTTCGGAGAGTGCATTGCTTTGACAGGTGCTTTGTGATCCGCGGTTGTACCATAGACTGTATTGGCTGTCCCCGTCTGCCTCTGTGTGCGTACGTGTGTGTGCGTGATGTGGAGCAGTCTTGTACTAAGTATAGAGAAACTACTTCATATGAAATACAATTAAAAACGTTTCACTTTAGTAAAACCTCATATATCAAGGCTTCAAGTTATCAGTAATAATACGCTGGATAATACATTTCACAACAGCTGTGTGGCGCAGTCGGTATATGACGGACTCCGAAGTAGAAGGTATAGCGTTCGAATCCTGGTCTACCCATAATAAATTTTGTGTTGCAAAGTAAATGTATTTATTTATTGGGAATAAATGGTTTGTTGTGTTTAATTAATCCACCTCTTGGTAGTTTTTCCTCCATTAATCACTTTCTGTAGAACTGTATTACTTTGGATGTGTTTGTTGTATCAACACAATTGACTGAAAGACTCAAATAGTTCATAGTTCATGAAGCATCATTTCAAACACAACACGTTAGACCATAGATTGTAAATATACTAGGGCTGTCCAAAATAGCGCGTTATTAACGCGTTAACGCAAATCAATATTAACGCCGTCATTTTTTTTATCGCGCGATAAAAAAAAAAAAAAAAAAAAAAAAAAGTTTTTTTTTTTTTTTTTTTTTTACTTTTTATTGCAGACAAACACATAGAAACAAAGAAAAGGACTAGTTCAGATACATTGTAGACAGAGATTACAAACAATATGTAGTTGGAGATACAGGGGGCCAAAGAAGAAACCCAGAAGGGCACATAGGAGGGGAGGGGGGGGGGGACATGAAGTGGGAGATGGGGGGAGGGGTTAATAAAAAAGGCAATACAAGCAAACAGTATACAGTCATAGATATACCGAAGGTAAACAGAGAAACAGCATAGAGTATTTACATGAACAAATTTACAAAATATTTACAGATTGTTTATCATCATCATAATGACACCATGATGTTTCTATACAGTCTATGGTCTATACCCACACATACACACACACACCCACACACACACATTGAAGGGGCTTTTTGTTACCAATTATTTATTTTGTCATCCATTTATTGATGATTTTGCATCAAATGTTAGTGTGTAATATAACACTACACATTGTTTTCAATAAAAAAAGCAATTGCACACAGCACGCAAATGTGTGACTAATTTGCGATTAATCGCGAGTTAACTATGAAATTCATGCGATTAATCGCGATTAAATATTTTAATCGTTGGACAGCACTAAAATATACATTTTAACATTAGATGTCACCATTCATTGTAAGCACTTAAGAGTGTTATGTATTTCTTTGTCCACATGATGGCGTAGTGGAGCATGATTCACCTCGAGCCTTCGACTCATTGTTACGGGCCAGGCCGTTAGTGTCCAGGAGAGGGTGCTGTCTGTGTTGGCCTGCCTTCTCTGCCGCCGCCTCCTCCTCTGTGCAGGTACACCCCTGCACCATGCCACGCCTCCTCATCAATGGACCTTCTTCAGCTGGGAGCTGAGAGCTGCTCACTCTCCCCGGCACTGCTGCCTTGTTTGGTCCTGCCCTGGTGCTCATTCTAGTGATGGCAATATGAAGCCCCATGAAGCCTTGAGGGATAGCAGCCTATTACTCGGCCCATGAGTCGAAGGCTCAAGGTGAATCATGCTCCACTACGCCATCATGTGGACAAAGAAATACATAACACTCTTAAGTGCTTACAATGAATGGTGAGATCTAATGTTAAAATGTATATTTACAATCTATGGTCTAACGTGTTGTGTTTGAAATGATGCTTCATGAACTATGAACTATTTGAGTCTTTCAGTCAATTGTGTTGATACAACAAACACATCCAAAGTAATACAGTTCTACAGAAAGTGATTAATGGAGGAAAAACTACCAAGAGGTGGATTAATTAAACACAACAAACCATTTATTCCCAATAAATAAATACATTTACTTTGCAACACAAAATTTATTATGGGTAGACCAGGATTCGAACGCTATATCTTCTGCTTCGGAGTCCGTCATATACCGACTGCGCCACACAGCTGTTGTGAAATGTATTATCCAGCGTATTATTACTAATAACTTGAAGCCTTGATATATGAGGTTTTACTAAAGTGAAACGTTTTTAATTGTATTTCATATGAAGTAGTTTCTCTATACTTAGTACAGGACTGCTCCACATCACGCACACACACGTACGCACACACACACACGTACGCACACAGAGGCAGACGGGGACAGCCAATACAGTCTATGGTACAGCCGCGGATCACAAAGCACCTGTCAAAGCAATGCACTCTCCGAACTATATGAAGCACTATATGGACCGTCACGTGGTGCGGCCGCTACGCGAGGCTTCGAACGTCACCACATACGTCACCAACACACGCCTCGACCCACACTTCACAAGAAACGCCCCAGATTACTCGGTCCACGCTTCGAAGACTCGGTCCGCTCAGCACATCACTAGCTCATTCCCCTTTGTTGCACATTTGAGTTTGTCTTTTGTTTTACGCACCACATTCACTGCACACCACACACCGGCGTTCATTGCACTCACACACCTGCACTACACTACTGATTACAACATGCTCACACCTCATACCTTGTTTTTGTTAATGTCATACTCGCCTTTTGTTATTAAATATACTTTTTGCACTTTTTACCCCCGTTTAGCCTCCCTATTTGTTGTGGCCCTGAGCCGGCCGTAACAAGTTGGGGGCTCCGTCCTAAAAACCCGCATTTGTTTGAGGTAAATATCATTTTGTGTTATCTGTGATATTTTTTGGTAAACTGGTTTTGTTTGAGAGCGCTTTTGTTTAGTCTTGTGTCAGCTCTTGTTTGTTTGTTGGTTAAGTGCCATTTTGAATTGAGCTGTACCTCGAGTTTGGTGTGACGGGCTCAGTGGGGGGTTTTCCCTGTGACGTCATTTTGTTAGTGCGCTTTGTGGGAGACGTGCGGGAGGTATTTTTTGGTCTTCAGGATTTTGTGCTGTTCGAGAGCAGGTCAAAAACTTCATCCTAGTTTGGTCAGCCGTGGCTGTTTGTAAAGACCCAGAAGGTAAGTGGATAAATTGTAATGTGTGTTAAAAGTTAAAGTTGAGGAATCCCGGGTAGGCTTAGCGGTGTTTCCCAACAGTGGGTTCACTGCAATTTTTTTGGGGGGGGGGCTTTAGTGTGGAAGTTAAGAGCAGGTCGTAGCTTCCATTTCCCCTTTTCCCTACATCGGCTCGGGAGCGCGCCGTGGTCACTTGATTGCCAGCTTGGTCGTCTTGTGTACCATCGGTATTTGGCGCATAAAAACCCATCGCCACGCTTCCCGAATACTAGGGTTTGAGGTAGTAAGCTTTTCGGTAGGTAGTTAGCGGCGTATCCTTGACTTTATAGGGCACATTGGTAGTTTATCACTTAAGCTTCTGGGGGTCTGTTTTGTGATCATGGATGATGTGGTTGAGGAATTTCTGGAGGAACCATGTGAGAGTGATTTGAAGTTCTGCACTAAAAGGAATTTAATCGCAATTGCAGAATATTACAAGGTTGATATTGGCAATTCCACTGTGTTGAGGAGTGCTCTTGAAGACAATTTGAAGAAACAATTATTTGGAATGGGCATTTTGATTTCACTTGTGGGTTTAACTTTTGAGCAGCAGAAAGAGCTACTGTTGGTCCAAGTAGAGGCAGAAAGAGAACGTGAGATAATGAGGCAGGAGGTTGAATTGGCTACACTTGACATCGAGCGGCAGAAACTCTATTTGAAGAGACAAGAGATGCAGTGTAGTCCTAGAACTGAACATACAAAGGAGGAACTTAGTGACTTGAAGCTTGTTCCACGTTTCAATGGAGGGGGTCCGGAAACAAAATCTTTGCAGTGCACAGGCTCTGAGATTCCAGTAGTAGGAATGGCGTTAAAAGTAATGGAGGTTCCATGTGATACAGTTCTGCATTGTGATTTTGTCCAGGGTGAGGAGTCTATGGGAGTGCACCCAGCATTGCCAGTAGATGGCGCCACTGTGATCTTGGGCAATGATATTGCAGGTAGCCGGGTCTGGGCTGATGTGCCTCCTCCAGTCCAGGTGTCTGATTCGCCTATGGTATGTAGTAACCCTGAAATTGAGAGGCAGTTTCCGGAGGGAGTTATTGTTTGTATGGGTACACGTTCAAAACGAGTGGGATCTGAAAGTGAGGAAGATCTTTCTGGAAATGAATTCCCTGTGCCGGTTCTTCCTTGGTCAATGACACCTGACGACCCGGTGGAAGAGGAAAATTGTGTTTGTGTTCCTATCGATGTTTCAGTGGCAGTTCTTCCATCTTCAGTGACACTCGACGTCCTGGTGGTGGAGCAGAACTCTTTTGCTTTGGAGCGATCAGTGGGAGATTCTGCGCACCCGGTGGTGGGTTCTTTAAAACGTTGTGATGCTGTGTTACAGAGCTGTCATGACCAGAGCAGCCATAGTGGGGTCAGGAACACTTGTGGCCATAGCTGTTTATTTTCGTCTGTCATTCCACTGTCAGGTCTAGAGCTAAATGCCAAAGTGACGATCGGCTCTAAGGTCTTTGTGACGAGTCCTATTCAGAGGGCTGGCTTTGATGCTAAGTCACGACGCTTATGGCATCCTGGGGAAGGGAAGCTGCTGGAGAGGGGAGGCCAGTGTGTTGTGGTTGTGCTGTTCCTTCTCACTCTGGCAGGGCTTCGTGGTATTTGCCGGTGCCAAGCTCGGATGAGGCAGCTGGAGACTACGGGGACTGGTCTGGAAGCTGGTGCCAGGTCTGTTCTGGTGGAAGCGTGGGTGCTTCAGCCCACCGTGCAAGCGACACTGGGACGGCACGGTGGAGACCCTAAGTCCCAGGGCCAACTGTATTTTGGAGGTACAGTGCTTGACACCAAAGTTTCTTCCAAACGTTTGAGAGGCCCAGTTGCCCTGTGGCTGGAACATCCTTTGAGCTGCTAAGGGTACGTTTTTTAGTTTACTCTGGGGCTTATGAAGGGCCCGGTTGGGTCCCTTTCTTGTAGGGGGGGGGTGTTACGGGCCAGGCCGTTAGTGTCCAGGAGAGGGTGCTGTCTGTGTTGGCCTGCCTTCTCTGCCGCCGCCTCCTCCTCTGTGCAGGTACACCCCTGCACCATGCCACGCCTCCTCATCAATGGACCTTCTTCAGCTGGGAGCTGAGAGCTGCTCACTCTCCCCGGCACTGCTGCCTTGTTTGATCCTGCCCTGGTGCTCATTCCCCTTTGTTGCACATTTGAGTTTGTCTTTTGTTTTACGCACCACATTCACTGCACACCACACACCGGCGTTCATTGCACTCACACACCTGCACTACACTACTGATTACAACATGCTCACACCTCATACCTTGTTTTTGTTAATGTCATACTCGCCTTTTGTTATTAAATATACTTTTTGCACTTTTTACCCCCGTTTCGCCTCCCTATTTGTTGTGGCCCTGAGCCGGCCGTAACACTCATGGGCCGAGTAATAGGCTGCGATCCCTCAAGGCTTCATGGGGCTTCATATTGCCATCACTACGAAACAGACAGCGACATGGACAAGACAAGACAGGACGTTGACAAGACAATGGACTAGCAACAAGGGGAGAGAAGCACAGGGTACATATAGACACACAGAGACACAGGTGAAACACATCAGGGCGGGGCAGACAATCAAGACAGGGGCAAACAGGACAGGAAGTACAACTAAAACCAAAACCACAGAACAAAGTCAAAATAAAACAAAAATACAAAAATAAAACCCACACCATGACAAAAGGGTAAATAACACATTTTATATATTTTCCATCATAATTTGCGAATAAATGTTTTAAAATTCTGACAATGTGATTTTTTTTGATAATAATTTTTGTACATTTTGTCTCTATTTGAGGTATACCTATGAAGAAAATCACAGGCATCTCTCATCTTTATAAGTTAAAGAACTTACAGAATTGGTGGCTGATTAAATACTCATTAGCCCCATTGTACTTATTTTGTGGGTTAGGGTTAGGGTTGTTAAAACCTGTGGCTTTTATTCAAGTGTGGCTGATATGTGGACAATATGTGATTTCTCTTCAAATGTATCCGGTGCGGTTTCTACAGGTGTATTTAATAGTCCTGTAAGTACTTTAATGTTATGATAATACATTAAATGTGTGTTTAAAGGAGGCTATTGGAAGTAACTGTGCAAGTTGCAATATCTTGTCTTGAATGTCTACAATCTACAGCTCATTCCGTTAATAATATTCACAAATGGGTCACACACTTTCTCTCCTCAAATTCTCATTATTTAATCTTGTTACAGATTCATTTTTTGATTCATTTTTCGGGATTTTTTTTTTTTTCAGCTGCCTCTACAACCCGTGCTCAGTAAACTCTACCGCTTTGGCAACTTTATTCACTAATGCGTTTTCCATTTATCGCTCTCCTTGAATAAAGCTCAGCCGTGGCTATTCACAGAGAGCTCCCAAGGCTTATTTATTTGTGCAGGAATCCGGACAGCGCTCATTGTACGATTTAACATAACAAAAGTTCCAAGTCTGTGTGATAACCGTGATGCCTGTTCCGCATTTTAGCACTTTTGTCTGCTTACACAACTTACACATGAGCCAGCCCCTGCAGCAGCCCCTCCTTTCTCTTCATTCCAACGTGGCCTATGGGGACTGTCTTTGTGTATGTGTTGTGTATCCAGAAAAACGCACGGCAAAAGGAATAGATGCCATTTCCGCCAATATATACATCTATATACTGTATATACGGCTGGTCAATATCCTCTGGCTTTCGGACTCCTGTCTCCTGCCAGCGAGGACACAGACATCCAGCTGATATTAAAGCTGATGTAATCGCTCAGGAACTGGCTCTGAGTCAAAAGGGAATAAAAGGCAAACAGGCTATTGTTGTTTTACGGGGATTGAACTTCTGATGAATGGAGAACGACGTTTATAAATGGATGGAATGAATGAATTCTCATTGGAGCGCTGGTCCTTACTGGGGCACAGTGAGATTTAGCTTTATTAAAATGTTAAATCGCACTGAAGACAAAAAAATGACATTATTATTACTCAATGCTGAAGATAATTTTGGCAAAATGTATCTTGATTTGAGCTAATTCTGACTGCATTAAAAGCAAAATTATCTTGTTTTTAAAAGATACAAGGAATATCTCCCTTGAAAGAAATAGTTCTTGAAATAAGACTAAATGGCTTTGTCTCATTGGTAAAACTTGTTTAAAGAGAGTCAAAATGTGCTCAAGATAAAAAACCCTCGATTTTTTGACAAGCTGTCATTACCTAAAATTTTATCATTTTTTGCAGTTAATATACTAAATAATCTAATGTATTTCAACTATGTTCATGGGGTGGGAGTCTAAAAGTTTACTTCGTTCCCACTCCATTTCGAGCTGACAAATTGTGTACAGAAATTCATTTATAAATGCATATTGAAATTGCAAAAATACCAACACAGGGTGCAGCTATGGCAAATACTGTTGCTGATGTGTATGTATATACTGTCAGGACAGTAGGCAACATAAAAAGACTTATTTTGAATGATTTCATATACAGTACACACACAGTACAGATTACAGCCCTCTGGGACGCCCTTCTAATGCCCCACTTCCACCTCTAGGAGCTGGGAAGGATTTGCAGACTTCTCAGTCAGGGAAAATGTAAGATACATATTTAAAAGCACAAGGCATCCATAGGTAAGGTAATTCAACATTTATGCCTTAACATGGACTATTTTATTTTCAAAGACCAAATGTCGGACCAACTGGTGAAAGAATCATGGGGACTTTCATTTCCAGTGAGGGCACACATGAAACATTTATTTTCTTGCCTAAAAGTGTGATGTTAAAACCGGCCAGTGCTGTATATTTAATCAGTCCCTTTTTCATTTCAACGTCATCTCAAGATTATTAGAGGGAAACGTGCTCTGTGGCTTATGGAGAGATTTTGATAGGGAAGAAAACACAAAAATACACGTCTTCCTTTTGAAGATGGACTTTTGTACCATTTATACCTCAAGTCTACAGTGTTCAGTGTCGGACCTGCTTGTTCTGCTGAGTCGTCCTTTGCACCCATTATTCAAATGGGTTATTCCTGTCGTAGTTTTAGAGTTTTTTTTGTTAAATATAGGACCTCATATAGGACCTTCAGTTACAATAACTAGTGCATTGCTCGTCCTTGTGATGTCTTTGAAACATTTGGAACGTCCTGGTGCCCATTCCATTTGCTTGTTTTGTTTGTGTTTGATCATGTTTTTCAGAATAAAGAATTGTATTGCTATGAAATAGAAGCCCCCTCACTCGCTGTCTCGCCGGCACTGGGTTATGGCTTCTATTGACATTGCGTATTTGGAGTTATCCACAGCACGAATGGAGTAGTAATGACATTTTTATATCAAATTGTGTGATTATCATTGAATTTGTTGTTGTTTGTTTGTGCGCTTGTAAAGTGTTCAATTTCATTCAGTTCAATTTATTGTTGCCGTCTCTGAGGACTTTACAAAGTTGGCAAGATAAGATAAGATAAGATGTGCTTTATTTATCTCACAAAGGAGAAATTTACATGTCACATTGGCATGGATAGAGACACTCAGATTGTGCAAAAGAAAGAAATGTGAAAACATGTTACATGCAGGATATATGTACAATAAAGTGACAATAATTATGTGCAACAAAAGTGTCAAGTGTCAATTGGAAACAGTGTCAATAGTAGTGCAGGTTTTCACACAGTGACCTGTTGTACAGTCTGACAGCAGTGGGGATAAAGGCCCTGCGGTAGCGCTCCTTCCTACACTGAGGGTGCCTCAGTCTTCCACTGAAGGAGCTCCTCAGCTCCTCTACAGTCCTGTGCAGTGGGTGGGAGGTATTGTCCATGATGGAGGTGGCTTTGACGAGCACCTCCTGTCCCTCACCTCCTCCACAGAGTCCAGGGGACAGCCCAGAGTGGAGCTGGCCCTCCTGACCAGCTTGTTCAGTCTGCTCCTGTCCCGCTCTGTGCTGCACACGGCAGCGTAGTAAATGGCAGAATGTACCACAGAGTCATAAAAAGTCCTGAGCAGAGGCCTGCTCACTCCAAAGGACCTCTGCCTCCTCAGAAGGTGGATGCGACTTTGGCCCTTCTTGTGCAGGGTGTTGGTGTTATGGGACCAGTCCAGTTTATTGTTAATGTGAACACCCAGGTACTTGAAGCTGTCCACCAGCTCAATGTCCTCCCCCTGAATGTTCAGCAGCGTGTGGGAAAGTGGTTTTCTTCTGAAATCGATGATCATCTCCTTGGTCTTACTGGTGTTCAAGCACAAGTGGTTGCGCTCACACCAGTCGACAAAGTCTGTGATAACCGACCGATATTCCAGATCGTTTCCAGGGGAGAATCAAACCGGTTGAAGTATTGGTTAAATTCATCCGCCTGGTGCTGCTCTCCAGCCGCTGTCCCTCTGGTACTCTGTCCAAAGCCGGAGATGTTCTTTCAATTCACCAACAACACATAAGGAGCGGATGACCAATGTCCATGAATGTAAATAAAAGTAAATAAATGTGCCTAAATGTCTCGGATCAACCTCCTGCATCAACAAGGAAGTAAACATTTTAAAAAACTAAAAAATTGGGGGGGAGTGGAAAAACTTGAAGGCCCACAAAGAATCCCAAAAGATTTTTTCAAAAAAATAATAGTGACACTAATAATAACAACACACACACACATACACAGACACACACACACCGGCTTGTTTGAGTGACATATAGCTGCCAATAGAACTTATTATATCCTCACAAAAACCAAACAGCTGGTGGAAACATAACCTATTGGCTGCCAAAACAAATCTAAGCCTCAATAATTAACAGACGCATAAATACTGTTTAGACTATCGAGCGCAGCCTTGAGGAGTCCGTTAATAAGACACGTCGGCGCTGGAGCAACACAACACACCCCTGCAGCGAATGTT